GCTAGGGTTAGGTCTCCCGGCTCCCTTCAGGAAGCCGAGCAAATATGATTGCTTCTCCTTAATCTCAAAACGGGTCCTTACATGAGTTTATATAATCTCCAAATATTTTTTCGAGAAAACGCAAGAGAGTTTGCGTTTCATTGCATTGAACAGGAAGACATCGGGGGTACAACCTCCAGGAAGGAGGGACACACACACACGACCGTCCTCACCAAGCGACTACAACTAGGTAAGGAGGTGCCCTCAACTACAATACACAACGACATTAGGCCTCGCCCAACCAGACCTCCAGCCAAAGATGGCGATGTGCCGAGACTCGGAGCAACTGGGCAGCATCACCGCCATTGCTAGACACCACTAGGGGCGATTGCAGCTCCAGGACTGCCCAGGCCAACGTACCACACACCCATGTGCCTAGGAGTCGGCAGGTGAAAGGCAGGGCCCGACAGGAACTGGCATAACATTCGTTGGGGGAGCGCTGGCGCTGGCATACGTTGCAACCTGCTCCCTGTGCAGCCGTCGACACCAGAGCGATGCATCACCAGCCACCATCTGCCGCATCAAACTCCACATGCAGCCAAAGCAGCGCCATCAAGAGGGTAACGGCGTTGAGACGCCGCCGCTGCCCGGTCCGGGAGGCCGGAACTAGGATTTGTCCCGGTGCTCTAGGAGGAGGTCCGGTCAGGGTCATGCCAACGCCTCCAAGGAGGTGACGGCACCCTCAGGCGTCGCTGTTGACAGCGCAGGCCATCGCTGTGCGGGGATTTTGCCCCGACCCATGAGCAAGGACCTCAGATGCAGATTCAGACTGGACATGGCAGAGAACGCCGGAGAAGACAGACACACATGGAGGAGGGAAGCCTAGGAACATCGACAGTCGCAGAAGTGGGCACCGGCTAGCGCAGCGCCAGCAGGCCGGCCACCGCCGGGAGCGCGTTCAGCAGGCGACAACAGTCACCTGCACCGCGCCGTCGCTGCGCCTGCTCGCAGCCTCCGCCACCAGGATTCGCCGGGGCACATCATCGCAGCAACTGTCAGGGTTGTCGCGCGCGTGCTCACCAACCCAACGGCGACCACTGGCGGCGGCTGGGAGGGGAGGGAGAAGGGTGGGCAGGGGCAGAGTGGTTGACGCGGGCCAGGGCGGGCCCGCGCGGCCTAGATCTGGGCACCTGCAGCTTTGCCGCTCGCTGCAGCGGCCAGCCGTCGCCAGGCAGCTCCACTGTGCGCGCGCACCGCGCCATCTTGACCTCCCCTGCACGCAGACCGCCGTCCGCCGCGCCACCGCACGCTCCAGCGCGCCCAACACCTGCGCGCGAGCACGCGAACAAGGGCCCCGCCGCCGCCGTCCACCGGCGTGGGCTTCGCCCGCCGGCATCCTCCGGCGGCGGCGAGGGGAGGGAGGGGGCTTGGGTGGCGGCTAGGGTTTCGCCACCCGAGTCTCCCCTGGGAGCGACGCGGGGGCTTGGGGAGGGCATAATCTCCAAATATGATAACTGGGCTAAGCCCCTAATAACGATAAGATAACCGGGCCAGGCCTCTAACTGCCTGGCTGTAGTATATGCCGGTCATAACATGATCTAAGCACAATCTTAGATGTTTTTACACGAAAGGCTTATATAAAGCCCCAAACAGCCGGCACCCGACCATACAAACACCGCACTGAGTTCGTCAGTATAACAATTACAGCCCAAAACAAATCAAACAATAAAAGAAATATCAAATGTCTGATACGGCGACAACTTAGCACTCGGCACGAGCTAGGATTGACCCTTAGCCACCCTAATTGTAGAGTGAAGAGCTCTGATTGCTGCCATCGGTGCTCCCAATGGTGCTCTGCCTTCTTTGCCAATGGCATCCTAGTGCCATGCAATAGAGATAAGTTGCTCCTCTAACATGGTATCATGAGCCCTGGTTTAGTTTTTTTTTTCTCTGGACGTGCAACTTGTCCAAATCAATCTTGATCAAATTCTTCTTTTTCGTCTCGTCACATCTGGATTGTTTCCACCGCTCCATTTTAGTTCATACCTTGTTGTCTTCTCTGTTTTCCTTGCTCAAATCGGATCACGACCTCGACCCGGTGGTGAGATCAGACTGAGTTTTTTCTAACGTATCACTATTGGACGAATCAGGCCGTTGCTAGGCCGGGCCTCCAACTCGTACTCTGCCTTCTGGCCCTCGCCGCTGTGACTCATGCCATTTGGGAGCTTGGCTGGCTTGATTTTTTCTTCTGCTGCCACCATCGCCATTCTCTCTAGCCCGTCGCCTTGTCTAGTATGCGCTTCATAGTTCTATATTTTCCGTTGTGTCCACCAAATTCGTTGCTCTTTCGTGTTTCTCATGCCATGCGAGGCCAGTAGGCCACCAAACCTTTATATGTCTGCCTTCTTTTCTGGTCCTAGTCCATTTCTAATACAACTTTTGTGGTCTTTCTGGTCCTTGTTGTCTTCAATAGGATTTTTATGGCCTCCTTTTGCATCGTCGTCGATCTATGTCCATTTTATTGCCGCCGAGTTTCTTTGCTGCCAGTTTCTTGGGCTATGATTTCTTGCACAATGCTTCATTCTCTTTATGTGCCGTCTTCTTTCGA